TGGGAATGTTCTAAAACTGTACTGCGATAACGGTTGCACAACTGTATAAATTTACTGAATCCACGGAATTGTGTATTTACAACGGGTGAATTTTATCATGTGTAAATTATAGCTCAATAAAGCTATTTTTTTAAGTACCATTACACCAGTCTTAGAAGTGACTATTTTAAAGCTCTGGCTGACAGCCTAATTCATTTCATATAATTTCAATACAATGAGTTCTGATCTATTACCAGGATTAAGAACATTTTTAGCATTTGCTTGAAGCCTCAACATGCTATTTTTAAAGGATTCCAAGTACATACATACATCTCTAAACCTTACTGATCAAGTATTTCTCTTGTAGCTATGTGTCATGTTAACTATAAGATAAAATCGTTGTCTACAGCCTACATTACCATTTTCTCTTAGCCATTTTTCCCCCTAAACTTACGTCCTACAACTATTCCCTTTTGTAAAAATCTTGCTATTGCCCAGTGTTCTATTAAATACAAAGTTTTCTTACAGTATTTCATAATTTGAAGGAAAATTTTAGTATTTATATTGAACATGCTTTCTACGTGTATACATTCTAAATATATTATCGTTTTCTTTTGTTTCATCATTAAGCCACTTACACATACTGCCTCTTCACTGTTTCAAACAATGAAGTTTTTCAAACAAATCAAGCTTTGCTTTCACTATTTTGGTTCAAAATTCCTCCTTCCTTGCTTTAAGCTTAATTTGATGGGTTCTTCTTTCAAAGCAGTGCTGTCTTCTATGATCAGACCTGCTTTAACTTTGGTCTGACTCATCTCTTTCCATTCCACTGAAAAATCTGCCAAAGTGGTAATGTTTCTGATAAGCCAGACATTTTTTAAAAAAAAAACTTCTCTTAACCATTTTTCTCCAAACCAAATTTCCTATGAAATGCCATTAACCTACAGGACACAAAGTAGAAAGTTGTGGATAAAGTGGAAGAGGCACCCTGCCTGCTGTGACCCAACCTCACGGAACACAGCAGCCTCGAGGTATGGCTTAAAACCAATGCTCTACATTACAAGTCACATTTCTGCATAGCACGAATACAAAAAAATTAAACTGAAAATATTTAAACAATACATATAAGAAAAACTTGGAAGTAAATTAAAAAATACTTTTTAGAATCTCAATTTTTTAAATGGATAACCATAAAATGATTCCCCAAATAATTTGTCTTTAAAACTCCGCAAATAAAGACATTACTTTTTAGGAATTCTACCTACTACAAAGGTTGTGTACTGTTTATCTTAATTTCCTTATTTATGACAAATTAAAAAAGATCAACCGCAGAAAAGCCCAAAGCCACTTAACACTATACATTGAGTTGTTAAATAAATGAATTGGTCAGCAGGAAATGCCAATTACCCAACAGGCAGTAAAGAAAATAAGATGGCAAGAATGCTCTGGTAAAACCATTTCTGTATCTGTATTATAAATTAAAAACAAAACAAAACAAAAATCAACCAGCACTATCTGCCTCCAGAAATCAGATACAAATCAAGCAAATATTCAACCAAAATGGTGACAAATACTAAGGATAAACCTGGACAAGGGGATTAGTACTATTAAGAATTATCAAGATTGTATTAACTACAAAATATAAACCCCTTTCCCCTCAGAAATAAAAGGTAAAGGTATCATGATACGTAACTTCATCACATTTCTATAAAATAAAAATAGAAATTATTGCTATTATGACTGTAAAAATGGAGGCAAGTAAAGAGTTTAGAAATATACTTGTTTATAATCAATTAAATGATGAGCCATAATTTGAACCCTAGTTATCACATTAAGTAGAAATCACAATTCAGGTATTGTGTCCTCAGTTATTAAGATATATGTTAAATAGTTCACATTTTAAAAACATTTTATCATTACATAATCAAATTTGATAAAATTTTATCAAAACATCTATGTATTCAATATAAATCATATTGTTAAAAGTTTTATAAAGTAACATTTAAAGAAAACTGCTGAGGTGCCAAATGATTATTTTCTATTAAATATACAACTTAACATTTAGAACTACATAAATTAATTCTTGCTAAAAGTTGATTCAGGTTTACAAAGGCATACTTTGGGAACTATAATAAATTTCCCCAGCACCACTTTCCTTTTTCATTCCAAAATTCTTTCATTAGGTTGAACTTTCTTCTGTCATTCATAGATAAAAGTTACAGAAGGTTTACAATACGAAGTCTTAATAGTAACAGGTTTTAAAAAATCTAAGCAAAGTGCACATTAAACTAGCTACAACTACTCAATTTCTTGATTATCATCAAATAAAAAATAGATGAACACTTCATCACTTAAATCTTTCTGAGGAAAAAAAAAAATAGTATAACCTTGCTTAAATAAGAATTCCCCAGTAGGATATTATATAAAAGATATCCCATGTTATTTTATTAAGTTCTTTCTCTCATTAAAACTTTTTAAAAGTCTAATGAACACACACTTATAATGCCATATTACACAACTACAGTACTGTTAATTAAATAAAGCAGCCCAGTATAGTTGTAAACATTTTTAAAATGTAGCAAAAATGTAGTAAACAAACTTTTCTTCCCAAAACTTGCCATTACAATGCTCTTTCCATGAATAATTATTCTTCCTGGAAAAGTCTTAAGGTATATTTTAGTCTTTAAAAATATTACACTGAAATAATATGTGAAAAGATTTAGTCATGGCAATTTCACTGAAGCTTTTATTGCCTCTGTTGGTAATATGACAGGGATTGTAAGAAGCACATTTGAACTTACAGAGATATGCAGATGATAGTCACTAAAGATAATCTTGATCTCAAGTATTTTTTAGATGTGGGCACTTCTAATTTTATACACTTTACTATTTAAAAAGCAGTACATTTTAAAATGTGTACCTGTTTTGACATTTGGCAAAAAGGAAACTGTACCTGTGGTTCAATTTAAAACAAAGAATCCGCCTGGGGAGTTTACCAAAATGAAGACTGAAACACTAATGAATTAAAGCATTTCAAGGTGTGCGTGTGTGTGTGTGTGTGTGTGTGTCAACATGTCTCTTTCAATCTCTCACTCTTGTCAATCTCTCTCACAAACGCACACACATGCACACACATACATGGCCATATGCATAAGCATTGTTTTAGTATAAAATATTCCCTGTAACCAGGCATTTATCCTCAAAATAATCACACCACATTAAACCAGTCTTCTCTTTTCAGCCCTAGTAATAGTATTGTTTAATTCTAAGATGCCATCATAGAGTGAACAACCTTAACTTTTATGCTACATAATTATATTCAAAGCTTTATGTATTTTTTGTTTATAATTACACAGTAATTATAAATGTTTAGTACCAAAATGATGACAAACACTATTTTGTTGAAAAAGGTCTTGCATTTAAAAGGAAAAGTCTGTAAACCCAAGGCACTAAGCCATGAACCAATATCAGACTTTGAAGAAAACAATTTTCTATTGGGGAAAAAAAAAAAAGCTAATGGGATCTCATTTTAAAACACAGCATACTCAAATTAATCAATCTGAAAACAATACCATAACTCAAAATCTTCCAGACAAAAACAAAATAGTACATATATATATATCTTTTTAAATTTTTCATAATTGAAGTTCGTCTTTATATTTACAAACATGAAGTCAGGAAATACTGAAAGCAGCAGGATTCTTCTTTTTTTCTTTTTTTCTTTTTTTTAACAACCAATTCCAGTAAACTGAATAGAAATTTTCAAAATATTCTTTTGGTAGAATTATATTCTTGAGTTAAAGTTATGACTGGAATATTAATATAATATCTATGGGGAAAGCTTTCTAGTCAGTTTCAGAACTGTGTAAATAAAAAGTAGTAGTAAGATGTCATTGTTTCTTAAAATCATTTCCACATCTACATAAAATGTACTGCTGTTCTGAAGTACATTCCTTTGATAATTTCAACACTGGACCTTATAGAGTTGCCTGGATATACCAAGCAAAATCTTTTCCTGCTAGAGACCAAAGTCATCCAACATATGAAGTTTTCCATTTTTTTACTTGCCTTACAGAAATGTTTAAGAAAGTAATAAACCCTTCACATGTCAGGAAGTGAACAGAGAAATGAGCATCTTCAGCATGAAAGCAGTTCATGGGTCTTGTAATGAAAAAAATACACACAAGAGAGAATTCTGTTTTGACGTGAAAACTGAGCTTATTTGAATAAAACAAAAAAAGGTGAAGAAACTAATTTATGAAAATAAAAGCCAGATTGGTATTTTGCATCAAGTACATGCTTGCTTGAAAATTTTTGCTCCTGAAGTATTTGGCAACCACAGTGATCAGCAGTTAAAGGAATTTCAACAAAATAAGAAGTCATCAAAAATGGACTATTTGTCTGAAAGCAGTACCTATAAGGATTGAACTTCATGGCTCATCACAACCATTTTCAAAATTTAATTCCTACTATCTTCTTATAAATTAAGAGAATTTCATTTGTGTTCCATAGTGCGCTGACAAAAAAACCAAAAAACAAAACAAAAAATAAAACCCTCATGCCTAAATTTAGAATATTGTATTGTGTAGCACTCTAAAACATTCAAAACAAATTAAATAGTTTAACTTATTCGACAGGCATATAAGCATTTCAAAATCATAATGAAATCCAATTATGTAGTGCATAATGTAGACAGGAGTAGAATCTAACATTATGCAGACATTTTCTAAATAAAAGCTCCCTGTTAAGACAACTATATATAAACATGGGTAAGGTAAGTGCAGACTAGTTCTGTGGAACCTTTTGAAATCGAGGGTCTGAAACACAATAAATTTTTCAGGTAGGCACACCAAGTTATCCTAAAAATTTTTCACATTGGTTATTTTGACATCAGTTACTCTACTCACATCAACAATACATGTGATTTGCCCGGGAAAAAAAAAATCCCCCCAAACCAAAACACCATTCCAGATCCGGTACACTTAAATATATCACTCTCATTGGAAGTGCTATCAGCATAGTCTTTGCAACTAGCCCAAAGCATATATTTAAGAAGTTTTTATAAATTGTTTGTGATGTTCATATGTTTAATTCTTATGCCAAACTGTTTTCTGATGAAGACAGCATTGTGCTTTATGCAAGAATGGAAACCTCAAAATAATCACCATAAAGCTCCTAAGACTTATGGGAGAATAAACTAGGATGGTCCACAGATATAAGATGAAATCCACAATGTTGGAATTATAAATGTTTAGAGCGGCCCAGACTAGAAGACAAGCCCAAACCACCATTAGAAGAATGAAATACGATATGGTCCAAGATGTATCCTTAAAGTTTTGACACAACCCTCAGTCTGAATTGTGAGGATTGATCTTCAGTTCAGTCCAGCCAGCAGAAATTGACTGTGCAATTTTCCGTTGTATTTATTGTACAGACTATGTACATTCTAGAAGGTTCCTTTAGTGCTACACTGTTGTACTTTTTGTCCCAGCAATTTGAGGGCGTGCAAATTCCACAAAGTCATCAATAAGAACAGGCCATGCTCCTGGAAAAAGAAAAAAAAAGTATGGGAAAGGGAAAGAAAGAAAAGCAGAAATAGGGCTAACATTTTAAGAGAATCCTTTACTTTTAAAATGCCTTCCCTGTAACAGTTAAAGCGTGTCATTACAAATATTCCCACTGAGAAGACTCCCAAAATTCTAGCTTTTTAGAGTTCCTACCTAACGTACTTTTTGTATTCTCTCTGCTCTATTATTCCAATGCTTGATCAGCCCCTGAATAATAAATGATAACTCTCCTAGTAATCAATGAATAATATGGTTTTCTGAAGGCCCCCAAACTGGCAGCCTAAGAAATGGCCATGCTATAATGGCATGCTGCCAGCACTGAGAGCACAGTTAGGTAGGAAGAAAAAAGTTTCCAGGCATTTTGTGGCAAACTTACAAGGGAAATTAACAGCAAGTCTCAAACTCTATCCTATTTCAGGACAATAAATTGCTAAGAGATTTTAAATTGCAGATATGCATGCCTCTACACATCCACATGCCAACCTCCAAATCAGAAAGTTCTCCAGTTTTGTGTAAGGCCTAACAGAAAGCACAATTATCACCAGATTAGACATTTCTCACTTATTAGTAAAGACTAGACATCATAATGAAAACAAAGAGAAAAAATAATATTATCTCTGGTTAGATTACATAGTTCCAGGACACTTTTAAGGAGGCCAAGGTCATTGGAGATTTCTCAAAGACTACCTCTATTCAACAGTCTCAAAAACACATCCTGCTAATTCTCAAGGGAGGCTACATAAGCATATGTGAAGAAATCAGATCACTGCCACCTCTCAAAAGACAAAAGCACATCACCTGTAGTAGATGGTAACACCATCTTTTATACACACATGACAAAATAGCAGAAAAGCATTCAGTTGATAGGATTCAAATATCACATTTATTGAATGTCAATAGTACTATGGTAGACAGCTGAAGTGCACTGTAAATTAGACAAAGTCACTAAACTTGAGTTTACAATCAAATTCAAAGACAAGACAGATAATAAAAAAAACAAAAATAGAAAGGACAGTTAGAAGAGTAATGAGTAAACTGAAAATCTAAAACATGCATGAAAACTACTCTGCCTTTCTGGAAGACAGGAGTACTGAGTTGGTATTCAAAGAAATAGAACAGAGATTGGTAAAGAGGACAAAGGCATTTTATATGTTCATAAGAGCACAAAAAATCAGAAGACAGAAATCCCAACTCTAAGAAAAACAGATGTAGACAAGAAGGTCAAGAGTGTGTGATAAAAGAAATAAAAAAAAAAAATTAAGGAAAAACTTTCATTACCTTCTTCATCATAATTAGACATGTCATCTGCAATCATTGTACTGAAGTCTAAAAGAAGATTCCAAGTATCTTTTGGTATTGATCGTTTATGATGTTCCTGTTTTTTAAAAAAATAAGCAAATAACATCCAAATCACCAAAAAGTTTCAAAACATCAGTCTAAACAATGCTAAATTCAAGAATGCAGAACCACCTGTGTAATCAAGCTATGATAATCAAATTTCTCATTCTGTGTCTACTACATGCTCTGAGTTAGTCATGCTTTAAAAAACATTTTAATTTAGGGGAGCCTAGGTGGCTCAGTCAGTTAAGCATCCAACTTCGGCTCAGGACATGATCTCACGGTTGTGAGTTTGAGCCCCGTGTCAGGCTCTGTGTTGACAGCTCAGAGCCTGGAACCTACTTTGGATTCTGTGTCTCCCTCTCTCTGCCCCACCCCCGCTCATACTC